ATCAGTCCGACTGTGTCTCCCGCCTGGCCCTGACCTGGCAGGCTCCCCTCTTGCTGTGGCTCCCAACAGACTGTTGTCAACTTGGGGTCTTGTCAGTGGTACCAGGGAGCTCAGGTGATGCTACAAACTGCACCTCGGGACCCTTGAGTCCCACCAAGTGGCCCAGCAGCTTGATACAGCCCTGGCTCTAGCTGGTGGCTGAGGCAGCCTGAGGATAAGTGCTGGCCAACTCCCTAATTACAGTGAGTAAGGGTGACAGCACCACCCAGCACACCTGTCCTTCTCTTGAAAGAAGCTAGAGAGAGGGCCCAGGTCCTGTCTGGCCACTTCTCTCCTGTGCCCCCCTTGCCCCTTCCCTTTCCAGTCCCCCCCAGAGTGGGTTTCCTGTGCCATCTTCTCACAGCCTTCCTCCAATCTGACTTCCCTTATACACAGCTGTGGGGTGGAATCTGCCAGGCGCAGCCCTGCAGGAGCTGAGAAACATAGGCTGTCCCTCCCTGAAGCAATAGCTCGGCTGCAAGAACCTTGTCGTGCTGCAGATTTCTGTTCGTGATGTTGGAAGCTGAATATTCCCCTGTTCTTTCCCTGTGGTTCCTTCTGTAATGTTTCTTCTCTATGCATTGACCCGTTCTCCCTCCACTGGAAGTCACTGGGAGACGATGACACTTCCAGAAGTAAGCCAGAGGAGAAGAGTGTATTAATAGCGTCCTAGATAGGGCCATCACAGCACTAAGATTTGTTGAGTGTTTCCTAGGAGCCCAGGCCATCCTAAGTGCTCATTCGGGATTATTTATTTAATCCTCACAGTAACCTTATGAGGCAGAAATTTGTCCCCTGCCCCACCTCATTTAGAGCCCAAGAAACTAAAGAAGCTAAAGCAAAGAGGGTTTCAAAAGTTTGCCTGAGACTACCAAGTGGAAAATCCAGGTATATATCCTGGGCCTTTGACTCTCGATCCTACACGCTGGCCCTCGCAGTGTGCATAGAAACTGGTTACAAGCTGCAAAATGACATTTAATACAAGATTTTATGGGTAGTCGATCCTCATTATTCATAGTTTACGTATCTGACACTTTACCTGTTTTCTTAAATTTATGTGTAACCCCCAAATTCCTACTGGAGACGCTTGTGTGGTCTTTCGCAGACATGCGCAGGGTGGTAAAATATGTGAGTGGCCACTGTGTGTGTTCCTGGGGGAGGATGAACAGGTGACACTCAGACTTTCTGTTTCAGCTCTTACCCTGCACACAGTGTTTTTTGTGTGCCACATTTGTTTGCATTTTATGCTTTTTGTTGATGTTTTCACCATTTAAAATGCCCCAGGTGCAGTGCCAAAGGGCTGTCTAGTATTCCAAAGAGCAGGAAGTCTGTGATGCCCCAGCGTGTGTGCGAAGAGCTCCCTTCAGATGTGAATTACAGTGCTTTTGGCCTTGAGTCAGATTCATGAATCAACAACATACCTTAAATGTCTTTAAACAGAAGCACACATAAAACAAGGATACGTACTGATCAGTTGATAAAAATGTGACCAGGTGCTCACTGGAACCCAACTCTGTGTTTCTCTCAGAGCAGTGATTCCCAGTCAGTATTTGTGGCAGCTTTCTAGAACTGCCTCGAATAAGGAGAACCAACTATTTTTATCTACTATTTTCTGTCTTTAATTACTTAATTCATTAAATGCTCAGGCATTTTTAACTGCTTTACTTATCAAAGGACCTATATTTTCAGCAGGGGGTATGTAATATTACCCTTCAGGGAGCTTAAGTTGGTTCTTGGGGGCTGAAATGTCTTGTCCCTCCAAGAATGAATTTATAAAGCCCATATCCACACACAGCACATAATGGACAGATGACACATTTGCGCTGTTACAATTTTATTGTAGGAAGGGGGTAATGAGGAAAAAAGGCCTTAAAAATTTCTTTAGGGGGTACAATAATGAAAAATACTGTTCTGGGGCATGATGGCCATTTAATACAGTGAAACAACCGAAAGTATTTCTCAGAGTACAAAACACCACATAATGCCATCAGTGCTAACCATTATAGGTAATATTGATGATATTACTTGTTTCATCAACCTAATTTACAGATCAGCATTCCTTAAATTAGAGTTGGTGGCCCTCTGAGGGGTCTGCATACCTGTGCTTAGGTTGTGTCTGAGAATTTTCTCTGAAATTTATTTTGGGCTTTCGTCTTGATGGTAATCTTAAAAAATATATGAATAGCCTATACTGGTTCTCCTTTATAACAGAATCCTGCTAGGAGATTTCATTACCCGAATTTCTCCTGTCTTTTCAATGGTTGTGGGCTGCTAAGAAATAAAATAGCAGGCTTAAAAACGTGACTGATGCAGTCAGACCACGACCACCTGAGTGTTCTCTTGTAGGAAGGGAGGGCTCCCTGAGTTTGAACAGAGGAAAGTGATGGGCTGACTGACTTGTCGCCTGGCCTGGGTGACACAGCCATGCCAAAACCAAGAGAACATTGGCTTCAGCAGCCAGTCCTTTATGTAAGTTTTGAAAAGCAATTTAATCCCAGCAAAATCACATCCACTATCATGTTAATCTAATGCTATTAATTTCAATTTTATGGGTTTCTTTTTTTTTGCATTTAACTTGTTATTTTGTTCAGGTTTTATGGTTGCATCGCAGCTAGAGCATGTGGAGTTTATTTCTAGTTTTCCATTTGCACATCACCAAGCAATAGTGTAATAAAAGTAATTTAAGTCCATATATTGGTGTTGCACGATAATGTCCTTTGAAAGGCAATGTTTGCATTACTCAGGTTCCAGGAGTAAAGGAATGGACCTACAGAGTCCTAGACTGTTTGAGCCGCTGTGTAGGAATCACTAAATAGAAACATCCTCCTACCGATGTGAACACCAAGAGTCCAGGGAGAACAGTTCGGGTCACAAAGCCAGGGAGTGGCAGAGTGAAAGCAGAGAGCAAGTGAAGATACACTTTGAGCTGACTGGTCCGCCCTGTCTCTCCCACAGGGGAACCTTGGCAGATAGATGGCAGCCGCTGACAGGCCACAAAGGGCAGCTGGACACAGAGTAATGGGGAGTTACTCCACTGCCTCGGCTAACTCTGAGGGTGGAGGATGTGAAATGGGCCGGGAATGACGGGTTTGTTCAGATCCTTGAGCCACACTGAGCCCAGGACAGTGGAGAGAGGAAATGGCGACTGTTTGTCTTCCTTGCTCAGGTGATATTACCCGTGAGCTTGGCCTGTGCCGTGTCTTTCAGATAGAAGACAGAGCTCGGAAGCTCTTTAGGTCTAAGCCCATTTGTATTTTCTACCCTGTGTGGATTTAGACTATAAGCTTATGCCACCCAGCTGGGGTCCTGCACTGTCTTAGTTTGTTGTGGCTCTTATATCACAACACCTTACCCTAGGTAACTTACATGCAGCAGAGGAATTGATTTCTCACTGTTTTGAAGGCTGGGAAGTCCAAGAGTCAGGTGCCTACAGATTTAAGGTCTGGTGAAGTCCCCCTTCCAGTTCATCATGGGACATCCTTACATGGCGGCAGTGGGTAAGGGAGCTCGCTGAGGTCTCTTAGTTTCTATTGCTGCATTAAAAGTTACCACAAAGTTAGTGGCTTAGTATAAGATACAGTTATGATCTCACAGTTTTCTTGGATCAGAATTTTGAACATGCAAGATACCTACAGATTTCATGTGTAGTGAAGGTCCCCTTCCCTGTTCATCATTGGGCAGACCCTGGATATTTTGTTGAGGGTCTCACAGTGCTGCAATCAGGGCGTTGGCCAGGGCTGAGCTCACCTGTGATGCTTGGGGTCCCCTCCATGCTCACGTGGGTGCTGGCAGACCTCATTTTCTTGAGCTGTTGAACATACAGTGGCTTACTGCTTCAAGGCCAGCAGAAAGAGTCTCTGTCCTTTAGGTGCCCTTTGAAAATACCCAGTTAGGTCAGGCCCACCTCAAATAATCTCCCTATTTCTTAACTTACTCAACTCCTTAGGAACTTTAATTACATCACAAAATCCTCTCATCTTTGCTATATCCTATTGGTTAGAGGCAAGTCACATGTTCTGCCCATGCTCCGGAGGGAGGAGGTGACATCAGCAGCCAGGGGCCATGGGGGCTTCTTAGAATTCTGCTCACCACAGTCATCAGGCCCTTTCCTAATGAGCTGAGTTGTGCTTCATATTTATAGGTGCTCATGTGACATTTGAAGGGTGTTTAGCAAAGTTAACTTATATAATTCTATTAAAGAATAGAAGAGTAGAAACTCAGCCCTGAGCTAAGCTGATTGAGAACAAGGATTCTCAACTTTGGTATACTGGCATTTGGGATGGATAATTCCTTCTTGTAGGGGCTGTCCTGTGCATTCTAAAACATTTAGCAACAACTTGGCCTCTGCCCACTAGATGCCTTGAGTACCTTCCGTCTCAGTTGTGACAACAAAAATAATGCCATGCATTGCCAAACGTCCCCTTGAACAACAACAACAACAAAAATCCCTGGTTGAGAATCCCTGTATTAGAAAAATGCAGGTGTTTTGTTTTGTTTTGACAAGGGCCATGTTGGAGTGGGGGATTTGTTTTTCTTAAGGTGATGTAGCTATTTGGAACCAGTAGACTCTTGCTGCTATGATTAATCTTCATTCTTACATTTGCTTATTTCCTTTATTGAGAAATGCATAATTTATAGTTGCAAATAAAAAATTAATGCAGAAGATGTGTTCCCCACGTGCATGCCAGAATGAGAGGACGTTGTCATATCTGATTCTGCTTTATTAGCCTACGTTTATAGGCCAGCCATATGGAACAGGCCTTTTGCTCTCCTCTAACCTGGGTCAGATATTTCCCAAAAGATACTTACTGCATAAGGCAAAAAACTTAATAAACTCTGCTCTTTGTATTATAGTTCCTTTCTTGGAATCAAGTGATATGGCTTGGTAGGGGACTGAGTGGAAGGCAAGGTCCAGTTCCAAAATTACAAGATTCAAAACTGCTCATTCCTGTTTTCTCCAGGCAAAGGCAGCTCAAGCATCTCATCCGACGTGAGTTCAAGTACAGATCACACTCCGACCAAAGCCCAGAAGAATGTGGCTACCAGTGAAGGTAGGCGTCTGGCGTTCCTTATCTCTCACCTCTCTCTACAGAGCTGGGGATTTTTGGAAGACAAACGAAATGTGCAGGTGTTACTTCTATTCTGCTGAGTGGGAGCGTATGAGATCCTTAAAAACGAGGAGGGACGCGGTCTCCCTAGTGTCCTTTTTGTTGCATTGCAGTTCCTGTCCCTGGATGCTGATTTGACTGTATTGCCTCAATTCTAAGGCAAATGCTGTTATTTTGTGAAAATTGATGAGGCTGACTTAAAGGAAGCCTTTATGATATTATATACTTTGTCTTTCAGTATGGAAAGCAGTATGATTGTACAAGTCTTGTGCTGAGGTTGAATATTCTTGCAAGAATTTTCAAAATAGGGTGCAACTGGAATTCAGGGTTTTGATGGTTGGAATGTCATAGTCATGTCATTTGTATAACTTGAATTTGACTTCTAGTATTTGACATAGAAAAAGGAGTCCTTTTTTTTT